GGGTTTGGCGTGTGAAGCCAATTAGCGCGTGAACCTCTAAGTGAGTGTATCGCCACAACGAGGAGTAGCTTGCCGGCAAGCAAGTGAACCTCGGTAAAAATTATTGTGTTCATCATTTGATTCCGATGTGATTGGTCTTCATTGTTATTCATCTTTGTGATTGATTGGCTCCTTCCTCGACAAGGCGGTATAACCTTCTTGATCACTCTGTTTACATTACTGCAAACTTGTTGTCAAGCTCTTTAGTGTAGCTAGTTGTGAGAGCTTGCTTGCTTGGTTGGTGTGGCTCTTTAGCTAGCCTTTGAGAGCACACTAACATAGAGTAGTGTTATAGCTATTGTGTGAATAGATTCTACCTAAACTAGAATTGTGGTAGGTGGCTTGTATTTTTTAGTAGGCTAGCGCAAAACTCGCTTCGCCTCATAATTGTCTAATCCTTTTGTTAAGTGTTGTTGTAGAAAATTTTATTAGGCTATTCACCCCCCTCTAGCCATTAGGACCTTTTAACACCACCTAGCTGAGACATGCCGATCTCGTCCTGCTGCCAAGGGTCCCACTGATGGTGCTGTATGCGGAAACCCGAGGGGTCGTCGTCGTCCTCGTTTGCAGGGTCCTTGCCAGCGCTATAATGTGGTGCTGTACACATAGCGAAAGCGGCACCTATCACCGGCTGAGAAGAGCCGGTTGGTGTCCTCAAAGAGCCAGAAGACGTGTCACCCGATCGCGCCGGGTAATCGGGTTCCACCTAAGGAGTGTCCATGCAGCTCAACTTCTGAGCTAGCTTCCTGCAGCTCCGCTTCACCTTCTGCATAAATAGACGTTAAAGTTAGTGCATTTTCCAAATGCATATACACTAAAGAAAAATATTTTTGGAACGGATAAGTTTATGTTTACCTGCACAAAAGCCTCAAGAACGCCTAGCCCCTGCCCTCTAGACTCGTGAAGCTGAAACGCTACTTCGTTGGACAGCCTTGACAATTGTGTCGCCTGGGTACAGAAACGCGGTTGGACAGTTTTAGTACACATACTTAATAACAAATGGATAATAAATTGTACCATTCGAGTATCTTACCACATATCATTGAAGCGGGGCTCTCTGTAGTTGTGTGTCGTCCCTAGTGGCAACGTCGTACACATCTTCGATCACATCTTCCTCATCGTCCTCGTCAATCGTCTCCTCAGTGTATGGGGGCTTGATATGTGTCCTCGTGGACCTATGAAGCCATCGTAGGTACTCGTCAAAGGTGTGCTGGTCGTGTGGGGGACCTGCATCGATCGGCTACCGGTCCCTGGTCTACCACAACTGGATGTACGCGTTGTGTGTCACGCACCAATCCTTGGTCTTGTACCTCTTCCTGCGGTCATACCTGTAACAAAACGATTGTTAGTTGTACCATACACATCTTTGAATTGTAGCTTTGTTATTAATCGATAACGCACCCGTGCAATTCTTGGTTGGTAGAGTAAAGCGGTGGTGGGTAGCCTCTTATTCTTCCAAACTGCCTGCAAACCCTGATGGGTAAGTGAATCTCGACCACGTGGAAGAAAATAAGAGGGACGTTGCAGTGATACTCGTCTGACTCATCCCTAGTGACAGGACTCAGATAGTCCTAGAGCTCCAGAGCATCCCAAGGACACCAATGCACCTGAACATTTCATAATTGAGTTAGGTTATGATATAGTGTATATTGAACAAGACACATGTATGATAGTAAAGAGAGCGTAACCTGGTGTTGTGTCAGAACGTCGAGACAGTCCGTGTACTCCTGTACTTGCGCCTCGCATTCCCTCTAACTAACTCTACTTGCGTCCAGATATATAGAGCTGTATGGAGTGTATCCTGCCCGTTCCAATGCTGCATTGAACACGATAATGAATTAGCCATTAATAATTTCATCATATGTAACTGTCTCGAAGAATATAGTGAACCAAAGTACTTACAGGAAAACCAGTAACAAGGGGCCTCCCAACGGGCCATCGTTCGCAACACCAAACCTAGAGTAGGTAGGAGTAACCCCCAAGGTTCGTATACCCTGAGGTGCGACGGTAGACAACGCATAGCTGTCGATACGTCCATGCTAGGACTACGCTGCCCAGCTGTACGCCACTATGTTATCCCACGGCTGGCGTAGTATGTCAAGAAAGATCTAGCTGATGGTGTTGCCCAAGACGTCTAGGAATAGGAAAGCACCAAGGAAGTTCCAGAGCCACACTCTAGCGAACCTGTCGATCTGAGCCTCATCAGCCTATGGGTCAAAGTAATCAAAGCGCTCTGTGATCCACGACGACGAAACACCAAAACTTTTTCTAAAATTCACCAAAGAAAATGAGACCCGATGGCTGTAGAAAAGCAATGCAAGTATTAAATAGGCTTGAATTGCTCACTTATTTTTCTTGGAAACCTCGTCGTCCGGTGGAAGAAAGCCAGAAAACTAAGCCACCAGCTCCCTTCAGTGATCGTTGTCAATTATACCTGTCACTGGAAGTCCCCCTAACCGAAGACCAAAGATAGCCTTCACGTCCTGCATGGTCAAGGTCATCTCGCCGCAAGGTAGGTGAAACATATGGGTCTCAGGCCTCCACCTGTTATAAGAATAGAATGACTGTTAGTTACCTTAAATTTGTTATAAGAATGTTTACGTACAATGAAGGCACTCACACCTATCTACAGCTGCAGTAAGTAGTGCTGGGTCAAGGGGCGAAAGACTGTAGTTGACAACACGGATAAGCTCGAGGAAGCTGGCACGCCGTATGTACGGTGCATAACGTTCGTCCAACTGGTGTGCCCTAGTGTGCGTGCGGGGCCTCAAAGGAGGCAAGGGCACCTCTGCGTCGGTGTCAGTCAAGAAGTGTGCTCGGTGCGGGTTGTCGTACTCCACCTCCAAAAGGGGGTACAACTGGTGCTGCGTGGGAGGGGCCATCCTGTTACAAATTGATAAACAACGGATTAGAGTATTCAAATTAATATTATGTAGCATTGCAAATTTTCAACTACTTGTTATGCAATACGAACACAATATGAAAGCACATGTATATATTCAAAGTAACATTAACAGACATATTAAACAATTTCACTAGAAAAATAAGCAACTTCTATGTATAGCTGTTTAGACACAAGACACCTAGAAGATGCCATAACTGCATTTGCTATATAGTTTTCCTTTCTTTTTCATTGCATTGTTGATTTACAGCATATAATTTACATAATCTATAATTGGAGAGATGCCATAACTATATTTGCTATATAGATTTCCTTTCTTTCCTCTCATGATAGCCCGTTTCCATCCACTAGAAGTGACGGCCTTTCCCCACTCGCTCTCCACATTTAAGCATTTACGCCCAACTTGAAAAGACAAATTAAAGCCACGGCTTCGCGCTAGCGAGTACGCTAAAAGCTTCTTTGTCAACTTTAGAATAAAAACGAATACGGATAATACAGGAAGCTATTCACGGCACCACGCTAATGAGTATGCTAGAGGTTCCGTTACTAACTGCTATACGAAAACGGATGAATGTATCTATGGGCTGGTGAACGTATCTATGGACAATTTAGGAAAACAAAACCATGGTTTCGTGCCGCTGAGTATGCTAAAAGCTTCTTTGCTGACTTTAAAATAAAAATAGATACAGATAATATAGAAAGATAACCATAGCCCCACGATAATAATATATATACTAGAAGCTTCTTTGCCAACTCTAAAAGAAAAGGTGATGAATATATTTTACAAAAGAAATTTAACGAAACATACACGTAGAATTCACTGCACACGAGACTGTTGATATCCCTAACAAATACCTATATGAATTTTACAAAAGCTAGCCGAATTTTACAAATACCTATGTGCGTGGCCGGAGGGCGCGGCGGGCGGCCGGAGGGGGTGGCGTGCTGGTGTGTGGGCGCGCGAAGCGCAATGGGATGGCCGGCGGCAACCGTGGGCGCTACCGACGCGTGCGAAGCGGCGGCACGACGACAATGGAAGCGGCGAAATGGGCGAATGAGCGGACGGGCAAAGTGCCAGCGGCCAAAGCGCGGCGGTGGGGGGCAGACGAGCGAGGAGGGCGGCTCACGGGCGATATTTATCTGGGACTGCCAGGCCGTGAGGGATGGCGCGGCACTGCCGCGCCAAGATCGGTGGCGCGACAGAACTTGTCACGTCACCGGTCAGCGCTCCGGTCGTCGCCACGTCATCCCCTCGCCGCGTCACCATGTATGGCGCGGCACAGATGTTTCACCGTGCCTGGGAAATAGACGTGGCCAAAAATGTTAGTTTTGAAAAAAAATGAAACAGTGTTAAATTTTAAATTAATTTAAAAAAGTGTTAAAAATAAAAAAATGCGCAACTGCCGACATGCAGGTCGCGGTGGTTTTGTGGATTGATTTCTGAACGCGTGAAAGACAGCGACGTAATTTAGGGGAAGGAGCCGCACATGGGGCGTTTAAGGGGAATAAAATAAATAAATGCATGGGTGTATTAATATAATCTACACTATCCTATAATACACTAGTTAGAACAAATCTACAGCCATACAGCAAATATCTACTCTGCAGTCATAACCTATGCTACATCTACACTTATGAATGTACCCAGAAAATATAATATCATCAAAACGGATACACCAGATTATCTCTTAGCCATTCTTTTTCATTACTCGTTTAAATCCGACGGCTCATATCTAGTGTATCTACCCTCCATCGCCCTCCATCCCACGCACGCGGGCTTCAAACGCGCACGACACCGCGACGCTTAAACCTCGGCGACCAGCGATCGATTCCTGTAGTCATCACCGAATAAAAAAATCCAACAGGAAACACACGATCAGGACCCGGCCGCCTACTCCAGTATCCGCGCCGGCAGGATCGCCTCCGCCCACAGCCCCGGCGCCGCCATCGAACGCAGGGGAGGACGGCCACGCCCTGGAGCCCAGCGCGTCTCCGACGGCGAGGGGTCATGTGCGCAGGCACCACCACCGGATCCGGTTCCGCAAGGGCTAGGGTTGCGATGGCCGCCACAGGGAGGAATGCCGCCGGCCGCGCGCAGTTGAAGCAGCTGCGACAGGTGAGAATTGAGCCCGCTCGCCTTCTTGCTCCTGCTGTATTTTTTTTTTTTTTTGTATGATGAGAAATTACAGCTTCATTTATTTATTTATTTATTTATTTTGGAAGCAGCATGTGACTGTGGGCGTGGTTGGCGGATCCGATCTGGTGAAGATCACCGAGCAGCTCGGCAAAACTGGTGACGAACATAGGCGCTCAATCATTGCACTGATGATGAACTCTGCAACGTTGGAAGTAATTGGTTTGTCCTTTTTTTGTGATTACGTCTTCTCTAAAAACGCCAGGTTGACACAAAAATGGCCACCTAATTTTTTGGTTCCTTATTTAAGGTGTATTCGCAAACAAGTCATGTAAATAACCGCAGATGAGACAAAAGTCTGAACTGTTCTAAATGTGTTGTCACGAATCGCTTTCATGTTCTCTTTCCATATCACAGTTTAGTAATTTAATGTCTTGTTTATTTTTCTCTCATCATTTGAAGGTCCTGGGAGTTGAGAAGACTGCTTCACAACAAGAAATAAAGAAGACATATCACAAATTAGCTCTTCGCCTCCACCCAGAATGTTTTTTTACAGTCATTTAGTGCAATGTATCTCAAATATAATGTTATATGCTGCCAGGAAGCCAAAGAGAAGTTTCAGCAACTGCAGAAGGTTATATCCATTCTTGGAGATTCTGAGAAGAGAGCTTTATATGATCAGACTGGCATCACTGATGATGATGTGCGCATCTCTTTTGTAGCACTCCAGTTCTACCTTTGAGATTCAAGTAATATTTTTCTGATTCTTCCTTTTCATCTTAGGCACTGGTGGGAGAAGCTGCAGACAGTCTTCAGGAGTACTTCAGAATAATGTACAAGGAAGTATGGTTGCTTCTATGTCAGTTGCAGGCTAATATTGCCTATTAATTTACAATTATATTTTTTTGGAGAAATAAAGTAGGGAAAACCCTTTTGTAGCCTATTAATTTACAATTATATTTTTTAGGAAATAAAGTAGGGAAAACCCTTTTGAGTTTAGTTTACCCTGTTTTATCTTATGAAACTTGCTTAAGAAAAGGAGAACGCTGAACAACTGTAAAAAAAAATGCTTCAGCATAAACCTTGCAATTGGATTCTTTAGGCACATACCTCAGTATGCTTATGTTTTAGTTGGAACACTTATTCCTAATCTCCTGTCATGTTCTCTAATATTTTTGCTAATTTTTTGCCCTCTACAGGTCTGGTTTGGATGACGACGTACATTGACACAAAACCATGTACGCAATCCTAATCTACTGCAGTGAAATTTGATTAGTTTCTTTGTGCTTAGATCAAGTTCAAAGAAACCTCTTCTCACTTCTCTCTTCTGTTTTATTTTTCTGTGGATGCTAAGGCAAGATTGAAACATAGCACATAAGTAACAGGTCTTTCAGGTTCTTTATGTATTGACAGTTTGGCTTGAGTGTCCCATAGCTACATATAACTACAAGTGGTGCTTACTAGATTTAAGGGGCTTTGAAGTTTGAAAAAATATGCTAATGAATTATAGCTCAGTGAAGTGCCTATTTTGTCAGTGTCCAGGTCAACTAATGTTGTTTTCACCAATCCTCTTAAACTGGCTTCATGGATGCAGACTGCAGAGTGATGTAAAAATTGGTAGAGAATTTTTATCGCATAGACTTATGCATTGGCTGACACATTGTTCCCTAAAACCTACAGATGACGAAGCCAACAGAGGTCACTATGCAGTCCAAGAACAATGAACTTGCTAATGTTGCTAGCTTGCTTGAGAATCTCCAGCAGCTTAGCATGAACAACTCCTCCTCCATAGCCGCCTCCCTCTGCCCTCGCCACAGCCCCCTACCTCACAACAGGCGTGTTACAATAATACTTGAGCTTATTGTTGTTTGTTATTTAAAAAAAAAATTGTATCCTGATGCATAATCCAACACTTGATCCAAGGCCAACTTCTGTCGAGCGAGTGATGCACAAACATCTCTGCATCTGAATCCTTAACATCCTTAGCTGTATCTCTCGGTGTTTGACGTTGTTGAACTGTATCTCTATATTTTTCTTTGTATCAGATGATGAAACCTCGAAACAATCTTAGGACACCTTCTGACACAGTGCTGGTAGCTCTGTGAGTGAGAAGGTAATTCTTTTTCTGATGATAATACAAGTGCTCTTAATTTTGCCTTTTATTTTTGTTTTTGGGTATCTTTTGGTCTTTAAAATTGTTTGCTCTAGGTAGGTATCTTTACAAACTTACACTGTCATGTGATCTGTGGTATGCCAATCTAGAATTACCATCAGATTACTTATGCTGAAAATTGTCTGGCTTGATGTGGCTTATGTGACTATACGTATTATACATTTTCTGTTTTGGTCATGTACTCATGTTAGTTTAATCTGATTATATAGACGTAGTCCCAATGAGGATCTCAAGACCTACCGATAGGAAGTGTTGTTTGACAATGTAAACAGCAGCTGCTTCTTTCTGTTGCATGTGTCTATCCTTCGACCATAACCTCTGGTCTGATCTGGGATGGAGCCCCATTTGTAGTTGTTTAATTCAACTGTTGTGTGATTTAAATCGGGTCCCTGAGGGATTATAATAACTGCATGTTAACTTATTCAACGTCTTTTAGTTTATGAACTGTAATAATATGCTACAAGCAAAAAAAAAGCTGCAATGAAATAAATTTTCGGGCCTAATGCCACGCTTCTGTTAGCCATGGCATTGACTAGAGATGCTATGATTAGGCCGAAACAAAGTTGTTTCAACATTAGCATGGCACACTACTAGCGTTAGCACGGCGCGAGACCAATATTGTTCTAGAATTAACTTTTGACTTAATATGGTCCGTAGCGTTAGCACAGGTCCTATGCCTAGTAGTAATGAAGGGGACCACATCGAGCCCAGTCAAAGCGATGGCGTGAGCTACGGTAGGTGCATGGACGGGCCTAGTTGGGTGGGATGGTGCGTTGGTCTCATGAGTTTTTTATCCGGAGAAACACATCTATATAAACAATAGAAAATATATGCCTACAGGTATATACCACATATATTAGTATATTTAAAAAATTCGAATTTTTCGTGAAATTTCAGCCAAATTTTGAATCCTGCTGAGGCCCTTGCAAATCAGCAAAGGGCAATGCCCTCTACAATGGGTGATGGGTGTTGAAGGAAAAGACAATGTGGCACTCAAGCCTGGTCATAACCGTATAAGCAAGTCCCAGAGGAACATTTATATTATTATAGAAAGAAAATTGAGGACCTCAGGCACCTTCTGATCTCTGAAGCAAAGGGCAATGCCCTCTACAATGGGTGATGGGTGTTGAAGGAAAAGACAATGTGGCACTCAAGCCTGGTCATAACCGTATAAGCAAGTCCCAGAGGAACATTTATATTATTATAGAAAGAAAATTGAGGACCTCAGGCACCTTCTGATCTCTGAAGCACGAACGACAATGGGCAATACAGCACGAACGAGGCCAGCCCAAGCAAAGCCTCTGCTACGTTCTCACAAGTTTGTTTCTTTGTTCAAATTATAGCAGTACAAATCATGAGTTTATCCACATTCTGTAGGTGTAGGATAGTAACACAGCAGCAGAACATCAAACCCATCTGCCAAGCTTTGTGGGACGCCAAAGCTCGGAACGTGGCACCTACGTACCGTACCGTTACCCAGTCACCCACCCACCCCTACCTCGCTCGCAGCTTCCATTCTCCCCTTTTACGTACACACTCGCGCGGTGCACGCATGCGCCGATCGACGACACGGCAGCTGGCCGGCCGGCCGGCGCAGCTTATGTATGAGTAAGCATTGACGACCTGAGGTAGTAGTAGTAGCGTACGTATCACCGTCTAGTGGAACACGGGCAACGGGTGGGAGCGCCGGCCACCTGCACGAGCGGCGGCGGCGGCGGCTTAGTTGGTGAGCGCGACGGCGGCCTCGTGCACGAGCGGCTGGGTTGCGTGCGCGACGCCTTCGGCCTCCCGCTCCACCTGCTCCCGGCACGCCTCCCTCGCGCCCGGCTGAGACATGCGCTTGACGAACGCGGCGAAGCGGCGCCAGTTGTCGGGCTGGAACAGGTCGGGCCCCATGCGCAGGTACGTGAACGCCACCATGCGGTCCTCGGCCGCCCTGTCGGCGGCCGTGGCCACCACCTGGTCGTGCGCCGTCTCGTCGTAGCGTGGCAGCGCGTTCTCCCCGGCCAGCCCGACACCGGCCTCCCGCGCCGCGGCGGCCACCTGCTGCACCAGCGCCTCGGGGCGGCACTGCGCGTCCTGCGGCTGCTCGTGGTCCCGCATCTCGACGCACGTGAAGTTGAGCACGGCGCCGTGGCGCGCCAGCATGCGCGCGATGGGCGCGTACCCGTCGTGCTGCCGGGTGTTGTAGTACCCCGCCGTCAGCTCCGCCGCGTGGGACCGGGTGCCGTAGTGCCAGTGGATCCCGGCCACCTTCACCGAGATCTTCACGCCGGGGGACCCCGTGTACACGCCCGTCGCCGCCGACAGGATGCGCTCGCCGTGCTCCAGGAGCATCTGCGAGTACCAGCTCATGAAGAACTGCCCGTACTCCGTGCTCCACCCGCCCTCGCGACGGAAGAAGCCCGTGTCCTCCGGCCAGTCCTTGTAGCCGCCGGAGTCGCCCGGACCCGCGTTGCCCCACTCCGGCTTGCCCACGGCCTCAGCAGCCGCCTTCAAGCTACTCAACATGTACTGCATGAATGCACATGGATATCGCAGCAGGTCAGTTACAAGCTCTGAGATTATAGTAGAAGGGGTAAAAAAAACGAACGAGCACGCATGCTGTACCCTGTCATAGCACTGGAACTCGCCGATGCCAGGGAAGGACCAGGTGCCGTTGCTCTCCGGGTAGGACGGGTAGCGCAGCTCGCCGGCGGGGCCCATGCCGACCTGGATCTCCACGATGGTGTTGCCCATGAAGGTGGCGAAGCGGTCGCGGAAGGCGCGCATGAAGTCGGCGTAGCACTGGATGGGGGTGCGGCCCTTGAGCACGGGCAGCGCGTCGCAGCCGAGGGAGACGTACTCGTAGTTCCGGCGGCCGCTCCGGTCGGTGTAGGCCAGGTCCTGGTCCTTGTCCATCTCCTCCACAACCCATCTCGGAAGTGGTATGCTGCAACGTCCAACGGCAATTAAACAGTTCGTCAGCGTCTAATAAGTAATTCACAAACCTTCTCGTCGACCCGACCTACGCAGGCAGGAAACTTAAAAAGCATATCTTCGATCAGGATTATTGGTTCTGGAGCCTGAACTTGTGCTCACGGATCTCGTGGCAGATCACATGCCGAGTCGGCGGGAAGAGGGAAGCGCCACCGTTTGGTTTGTAACACGAGAAAAAGGACAGACTTTTCTTCAGGTTATCCAGGGTGACGGATGGTGAACCTGTGGTTCTTCGTGGCTCAATGGTTCACGGGGACCTTGCGTTCAGTCCACGTCCACATCCACTTGTGTAGAGTAGATGCAATTTTCGGACTTCTCACTTCTCAGAGTAGAAAAAAGTTTTGAGTTAAAAACAACGGAAAAAGTGCACATCTTTTGGACAGTTCTCCCTAATCACAGGAGGCCCGTTGGTCTAGATAATCGACGGTAAAACTCGTGAAGGGGTCAGAAATTTTGTGAAAGATCTCTTCTTAATATAATAATATGCAGCTCTTCTATATTCAGAAGAATCAGATATCAACATGCAGGTTCTGAATATAGCACTGATCTTTTGTGCATTTTCTTTCATCCAAAAAATAATGTGAAGAGATTTTGGTTTAATCTAGAGAATGTGAGGCAAGAAGAGAAAGCAGAGGTAGACACGTACGTGACTGAATCGCCGACGTTGCCGCCGCACTGGTGGAAGGACATGACGGCCTGGACCTTGAGCCCGGTCTTCCTGGCCATCTCCATGAGCTCCATGTACCCGTTGAAGTTGTACTGCCCGGGGCCATCGGCCTCGGCGATGCCCCACCAGACGTCCACCATGATGCCCTCCACGCCGGCGCTCTTGAGCGCCGCCAGGCTGGCCTCCACGGCCTTCCGCCGGTTGAGCGAGTTGCCGTCCTTGCGCACGGTGTCGAGCGGCATCATCACGAAGACAGGCACCCCGGCCTTGCTCCAGAGCTCGGCGGCGACGTCGGCGTGCTCCGCCTCGTCGGGCGCGCTCTCCACCAGCGCCTGGCACGCCATGGCCAGGTCGGGCTTCACCGCGTCCGGCGGCTGCGCGGGGGCCGCGTCCACCGTCATCATCTGCATCTGGAGCGCGGGCGCCGGGGCGGCGCCCGCCGACACGGACGGCGCCGCCACGGTGGACGCCGCCGCGACGACGGCCGAGCGTGGCGCCGTCGGTGCCACCGTGACGGCCGCGGCCGCCGCGCCGGTCTGGTGGGCGAGGTTGAGCGCCATCATTCACAGCGGTTGGTTGGGATCGGATTGGACTCGAATGGGCGACGAGATCAGACCACCAAGAACGAAGAAGAGGAAGGCTGGCTGGAGCGAGAGATGGATCTTGCTTGGCCTTGGTGTCTGGAAATGGATTCGGTCCGGGACCCTGGGGACTCCCCTGCTGCGATGCGACGGCGATCTGGACTGGGGATTCGGTTACTTATTATTACGGGGGAAGGGAATGGGAGCCCCGGGCCGCGGGGTTAAATAAGGCTGGCGAACACGGGCGCCCCGGGCGACGTGGCGCGCGGTGCGCCGGTGAGCGGAACGTGAGGCCGTGACGGGAGGTGGGGGGCGAGCCGCGAGCGGAGGGGCAGCAGCGAACTGGGGGGATGGGTGGCGGGCGGGGCGGGGCTCCCGCGGACGCGTGAACCGGCCTCGAAGCGTCGTGGGTGGACGGCAACGTGTTTTGGCGGGGACTGCGCGCCGGGCCACGTTGCGGTCCAGCGTGGAGATAGGGCGGCTGGATGCGCGACGCGTGGGCGCGGAACGGGACATGGTACGGTTTGGACGGTGTTGGCTGTGTCCTGTGTGTGTATGATCCACCCAGTGCCGTGGGCTCCGTGCATTCGCTCGATGAGATGCCGTGGAGCGGTAAAATTGGTCGAAAACATGGTGCTTTTTACGTGTGTGCGTTTGCGTGCGTGATTTATATAGTGTTAGTTGTCCTGATAGTAAGTTATACTGCCTCTGTCTAAAAAAGATACCACTATGTTCCTTAAAAAATACACTATGAGTTACGCGTCAGTTAAAGTGTTTCACGTTTGAATAAGTTTTTAGTAAATACTATTTATATTTATGGCTTCAAATTAATTTATAATGAAAATACATTTCGTAATTAATTTAATAGTATTTATTTGATGTTATAAATATTTATACTTTTTATTTAAAAAACTCGTTCTGCGGTGGCTAGACAACCCAGGGTATTCCGGTTTAAAAAGAAGATCATCTCACGTAGATCAAGAAAACCAAACTTGATATACTAAAATATAATACTATTCCAGAATTATGGAGGGAGCAGCGTTTGTTTCTTGCATCAGGTTAGAACCTCTTTGACAGATCTTTTAGAGAAGCTTTTGGTCTGTTTAGTTGACTCCAGACAACCTGTCTGGTATTGCAGGAGTTGTAACCAGGCGTCCGATTTCGATTGTCAGGAATCAGAATCTCTATCTGAGCAGCATGTTGACTGAGAGGCTCCCAAACAAACACGCTCTTTGTTTTTAACTTCTATAATTTCTGTGTCAACCCTAAACATTAAGAGCGTGTCTTGTCTCCCAGTCAACCTGCGGTTCATCCCTAAACATCTAACAGAAAACATGAGACCTCAAGTAGATCTCGAAGGTGATTACATGCAACAGAATTTAAATAACCAAACATAAACTTATCAAATGTGTCTTGTCTATGTAGAACAACCAAACATTAAGACAATGCATATGTTTACACTGGTTTAGATTATGATGTATAAGATATAATGTAGTGTGAGACTAACGCATGCAACTAATCAGACTGAATTTGAATCTGTTTTGAACCTAGATAATGCTATATTAAGTCTCCTTTAACTACCGTGCAAATCTTAATAAGAGACTACAGACATTTTAAATACAGAAACCACACTAGACAAACTTAAAATACAAACTAATGCGTACAAACAACCCAAAGACAGACCAAAGGCCGGTAGCGTTTTTTCGTGACTGCGTGCTTGATTTTCTAGATCACGTGGGAGAGGGGCACCGAAATGGACCATCGTCCTGTTCACTTGGGCTTGTTTGACCTGATAAGCCATGACAGAAAGTATTGGTGGCTGATTTGGTATGAGAGAAAAATACTGTTCGTTAACTGAAAAAGTATGACTTATAAATCAAAGAAGATGGGTGGTCGGCGCTTGGCACGCCAATTGCTCCGCGAGTTCTCACGCGGTGTCACATGCCTGCAATTCTGGACACATACCACGCACGGCCACCACTCTGAATCTCTCGCTGATCCGAGCAACGGGGGCATGTTGCATCGCGTGACTTCGCGCCAACACCGGAACATGAATGGATTGCGATGGCCTATCGCCCTATCCTATCCACGCGAACCAAATCCAGAGCCCGATTGTTCTGAACATGACAAATCGTCTACGCGGGAGCAAAAAGATCACATGCCATGCGCCCATGCCACTTGATAAGTTCAGCTCTTCCTGCAAAGCAGCCATGTCCCGTGGTCCTCCAGCGACAGTTCTAGACACTTCCGTCGACTTTCCAGGTTTTTTGTAATTTCTGGCTAGCAGCCTAGCACATATAAGCAAAATCAAAAGAGAAGAAACTTCCCCAAGAGGTGGAGGAGGTGGATAGCGTTCGGTGTGTGGCTCTCCGGACTCGAGCAACGCACGAAACAAATGCAAACGGGAGCAAGTGGAGAGGGAGCCAAGAGAAAGCGTAGAAAGCGGCAGAACGGGGCTGCGACGTTTGCGTTTGCTGCCAGATTTGGCGTCCTCGTCGCTCGCCTTTTCTTCTTTGCACGAAACGTGGGAGGCTGGGAGAGCAACCCGGCGGAAAATATCCCCATCGTTGCCATCCACCTAGCCTGGCGTCATGGCGCCCCCGATCTCGAATGGATTTCAAAAAATCTTCAACGCAAAAAAACTGGATAGGACGGACTACTCGTGTTTGTTTGAGGCTGAGATTTTTAGAGTTTCAGAGGCTCAACCGCGCGGGGTCAGGGTCAGAACAATCCCTGCTTCCAGGTGTACGTACGATATTTGAAACTTTTACGTGTTTCGGAGCTTTGTACCAGTTGTTGCTTTCGTTTGAACCGAAAGCAAGGGGGTACACTTTCAGCTTTTTCAAGCTCTGTCCCAACATATTGTGTAGAAAACGAAGATAAATTTTATAAACTTTGACTAACAATTGTCCAAATAGTTTATGACAAAACTTACATTAGTAGATTTGTATTGAAAATGTCTCTGAATGATACTAATTCATTAACAAATGATACATATTTTAGGAGAAATTAGGGGCTGAAATTTGTGTGACTTTTGACGATCAAAATAATGCTTATCATTTTTTGGTGTTCCAATCAACTTAGTCACTTATGAGTTTCTCTCTTTAGAAGCTGTCTTATGTGAGTTTACAACAAGGCAATGTGAAATACACCCTCCATTCGAAATTATAAGATATCTCTTATTTTTTCACATGGGTTTCCAAATGAGATACCAAAGATAGTCTGATCTACAAGGACTTAAACTTATGAACCTATAGTTTTAGAAAGAGAGGGAATCCACCACCAAACTATCGTTGTGATCATGTAAGTTTGGTGCATAAGTTATCCTGTTTCTTTTTCTTTTTCTCATGTTAGCATAATTGCAAGTAAGTTTAAATTGAGCAATATAACCTACTTATGTCATACCATTCCCACCTCATTTTTCCTAAAATGTATACGTCATATATTGGTAAAATTTTCTTTACACAAATATTCAAGATTAGGGGGAGTATTGTGCGATGTCTCTCCAGAGAAAAGAATAATAATAAAATCCATTCCTAACTAAAAATGTGATTTCTAAAGATTTTGTTGTAATTCTTCGCATTCCCCAATCCAATAGAATAAAAAAAAATGTGCGATGTCTCTCCAAAGAAAAGTCATCTCAATAAGTCGCAAAAAAAAATGATCTCAATACTTCAAATTAGAATAGAGATTAACAAGTACTTATCTTACATGGTTAACGTTGCCACTATCAGTTAACGTAGTTAACAATGCCACCAGCCTTCGGTACTTTCAGTTTCAGGACAAGCCACCCTTTCACATGATACAAAATACAAGGCCGTTCTTTCACTTCAACTGACATAAAACATAACCATAGAAGCTCAAAGCATACTACAGGAGTCCAGTTACAACAGAACCAAACAAACCAATCCTGCGGAAAAACATTCGAGTCCAGTAACAGAACCAAACCAAACCTGTAGAAAAGCATTCAGATAGTTACCACACAAGATACAGACATCGCTCAGAGGATTCGGGTGGCTCCAGGAAAATTTAGACAATACATCTGCAGAAGGTAACATAACAGGTTGCAATCAGCCATGGCAAAATCTATAACGTTTACTAGCAATAGCCACAAAGGTTCATAACACCAGAACAAAAGAACTAGCCAGTTATCAAAAAGATTCAGATAAGTATTTATGCCAGCTCACTTCAACTGCTCAAGATACAAGAATTCTCTCTAGTAACCACCCTTGAGATCATTGACCACATCATAAGGAATAGGAGTGACTGTCTCAAGTGTAGCACCCTCAACCATGAAGCCAGGTTTGGGTCCCACAGGCTGCCTCTTGGTGCTGATCACCTCACCACGGGCCTTGGCATCCACCTTGAGCTGGTCGTTCTTGGCTTTCCTCAAGCGGAACTCCTCTGTGCAACGGGAGGGCTGCACATGCTCCACACGGACATGGATCCGCTTCCTGATGATGCGACCATTAACCTAAAAACACCAGAATAAATCAAGTGTTACCATGGCAATTCAGTCCAATTAGATGCACTAACTCATGACAAAAAATACGCACTTTACACAAACCATATCACTTTACACAAATGTGAACAGGAAGGAACTAAACTACATATCCAACAGTTCAGGTTCAAGTGAGAGGGAGACATGCTTTACTATGTGAAGCAAACTTGAACAAAACAAGGCTTGGAGCATAAGTGCACAACTGTAGAGAAGTTGTATGCATATTGATGAGTATATTATACATCTAATGCGCATACATATTGATCAATATCAACATAAACTTGTACTGTGTAAAGAAATAGGAAACACAATTGCAGGCTAAATTTGCATATGTATCATCCAGACAGGCTACCCTAACTGCTACAACTGGTACAGAAGAGGTGCCAGAATGACAGATTTTGATGTATGCCCATCACACGTATGACGTGTGCCACAAATACCCTCTCTCGTGGAATACCACGCCACCCCATGGCTTAAGGGGTAAGCGCTCGGCCTAGGGCAAAGAAAACAAGGGAATCAAACAGTTTTGACAAAAACACTCAATGTTAAGGGAGCAGTTGTCGAAGAGCAAAATTTTCACCACACCAGGATTTGATCAAGTTCAAGTTCTGAACTTCCAATAGATATAAATAACCAACTCTTTAAAAGAGGGATGTGAAATTTTCAGAACTACATCAATCTTGGTACTATCAACACGAATTTTGACATTAGAAACAACAAAATAGCCTACTCAAAATAACAATCGTTGGACAGAACACGAGACATATTACGTCAAGTTCAATCTTCCCGATGCTACCAAATCACAATCCATCACTCTGCACAGTTTAAAAAACCATACTTACGAGCGAATTTATGTGATAGTACAACATTAAGCTATACATAGCTTCACCAGCGAACGAATCGGATTTCGTTCCAAAAAATGGTCTCAGGCGTACGACCACACTAAAAACTGCTGTATCACTGTATCATGAAAAAACTATCGCTGTACGGCAGCAGCAGCAGCAGCAGCAGCACAGATCTAGCAAACCGGCCACGGATACAGAAAGAATGCCATCAGGGTAGCTGGTGCGGGCGTTATACCTGCTTGTTGATCTCGACGCCGATGGCGCGCTTGGTGACGTTCCAGACGCGTCCGGTGCGGCCGTGGTAGAACTTGTGCGGCATGCCCTTGTGCACGGCGCCGTTCACCTTGACGTCGACGTAGTCGCCGATCTTGTAGGTGCGCAGGTACGTGGTGAGCGGGATGTACCCCTTCTTGCGGAACGGCCGCGCGAACAGGTCGCGGGTCCGCGACCGCAGCCCGTGCCCCGCCGGCATCTTCCTCCTCCTCCTTCCTGCGGCTGGGCTGCGGCGGCGGCGGCGGCTGCGGGAGTGTGCGGGTGCGGCGCTAGGGTTCGCGAGGGAGGGGATGTGGCACTTATTTATAGGTGATCTTTAGGCCGTGGCCTGGTAGCGATGACTCTGTCCAAGTTTCAAAATGGGCCTTCATGGGCTGAACCTTCTTGCGCTACTGGGATAGGCTTTAGGTACAGTATGAACAGGTCCTATAATGTGGTGGGCTCATGTTGTTTTGGGGGGCTTCACCTTGTTTTTGTTTGCCCGGCGACACACCAGTGCCCTCTCCTACTGCCACGCCGGTGGCGACAGCAACCACCGGCGACAAGTCCATCTGTAACCTCCATCCGGACACCATGGACAAGCCCTTCGTCTCTGGCGGCGACATCGTCCAGCGCAAGGGAAAACGCCGCCACGACGACGACGCCTGCACGGCCATGCCGGACGACAAGGGCGAAGAAAAAAAGGCCAAGATCGACAAGGCGGTCCGCCGCTCGAGCCTCTGGATGCGCCGCCGTTCCGACGCCGCGACGTCGCACCTCGAGGTTCATATCCCTGAGCGGGAGGCTCGCTTCTGCATGGCTCCAAGCTGCTGCGCCTCCTCCTGCGGCGTTAGTATTCATGGCAGGAAGTGGCAGGTTCAGAAACGAAGCAAATAGGAGCTAAATAATCGAAGCCTCCGGGAGATTAGATGATGTAATATAAGTAACAAAGAACACAAGTAACACGATCGACATGTTTATTGCTTCGAATGCGAGTCATGTTGATGCTTCCAGTTCAGATCAAGGTTTTGGTTGTTTGTTGCGGATTTTTGTCATAAACTTAAATAGATGTTTTAAAGTGCCACGTTGAATTACTGAGCTTATAGACCAAATATATTGTTGAATGTATGATTCAAATTATAATGTGGGCCTTTTCTGAGATGCAGAGAGAGACACTTTTTTTTTTCTTTTTGGTTATTGTGACTAGTTGTATGTGAAAAATTTACGTCGCATTGTTATTCCTAGGCATTTTGGTACTCAATCCAATCGTGGATTGGTCCGATTAAAAATCTTGTCTTTGTGTAGTCATGTTCGTTTTATACTCTTTCATTTGATAACAAACATGTTCAGTCCAGTCCTTCGGGGTAATCAATCGTCAGGGTCCTGAGATGGACAGCATAAACACAAAGAGCAAGGCAGCGAGTTCTGCTTCTCCAAGCAGACACCAAAGCGCTGCTTTCCTAACCTTTCTGAACCTGTCGTTGCCACATTGCTTTTTTTTTCTTTTTTCTTTTTTTATGGAACTCCTCGTCTGACCTCACGAAGCTGTATTCGATTCGATCGGTTCGGTCACCAGTGGAAGCTGACGCTGAATGCAACAAGACTCGGTCCCAAACTAGCGTTTAAAAGCTTCAACTTTCTGCACCAAAACCACATAGCTACACGAGAACAGAAAATCCTCCAAGGACATTGCACTTGCACCTCAGGTTGAGCTTGTGCAATCTGTTCCTGCGATCTGGCATCTCAATCCAACCACAGAGATTACCATCCAGTTAGTGGTCAATCGGCCTGTTCGCTGGTTGGTTTCTGAGCTGATAAACCCGGCTAGTGCTGGTTTGTTGTAAGAGAAAACACTGCTGGCTAGTTGATAAATCTTGGCTGAAAACAACGAGCGAACATGCTGAATGGCAGATGTAGGTTAAAGCTATATAGGCACGTAAAGACGTTGAACCCAGCATTACTACAAATTCGTAAGGCATTAAATCTTAAGGCAGACCACAAAGGGGGCAAAACGTTTGAATGAGCACCTGTTTTACCACTGGACAAGGTGCTGAAACTTCACAAGCTATAGTACCTTGCAAAATCTGTTTTACCACTGCAAGTTTCGACCATTCATTCACAGATTTAAGCCATTACACCAGAAAGGTTAGGTCCAAGCTCGCTATGACAGGAGCGGCCTAATGTTCTCCTAAGACAGGATGCCAAGAAATCTGTCGATGATAACCTATCTATCTATGACATAAAAAAAATTACAAGCATAATAAAAAAAGGGCGTACCCAGGGCAAAGAGCTCCCGCTCTGTGCGGGGTTTGGAGAAGTGTGCCAGTGGCAAGCCTTACACTCGCCTGTGCAATGCGAGGAGACCGCGGCTCGAACCCGAGACCTTCCGGTTAAAGGCGGTAAGACTCTACCGCTTGCACCAGACCCGCCCTTCTACAAGCATAATAAAGAAAGGGAAAAAAAAGTCTAATGATGAGAACACGGTGGTGATCACTTCCAATGAAAAGTTCATGGCTGCGGATGGTAAAGAGTATTTGGAGCGGTTCCACTCGGAGTAACACTGCTCTGAGATTTCAATTGGCACAAAAGCTGCTGGGTCTGAACTGAACCAGATGAAAGAACAGTGCCCGGTTTCAATTGGCACAAAGGCTGCTGGATCTGAACTGAACCAGATGAAACAACAGTGCCCGGTTTCAATTGGCACAGAGGCTGCTGGATCTGAACTGAACCGGATGAAACAACAGTGCCCCCAGGTGCATGATTTGAGGAATTATGCCCACTGGAAGCCCCGATTTCTGAAGTTGCCGCCACATAGCTTTTCTTAACATAAGCCTGTCGTCTGTCCTTTCGAGCACCTTGAGCAAGTAGTATGTCTCTAGGATGCATATGCATATATTGAGGTGTGCTCGTTGACTGCTGACCTAATGGCTGATTGGTATTGTAATCAGATAATCCCAACTGATGTGCCAAATTAGCAAGTGATTCCTTCGATAAAATGCCTGGCGATGGAACTTGTGGGCGTTGTGTTCCGTGAGCCTGAGTGTTCAGCAAGGAGCACCGTGAGAGGGGCACTCCAGTGCCAACAACCGTGTTAGGAGCAAGCTGAGGATATGATAGTGGTCGGTACTGGTGTCCCTGAGATCCCATTGGTGCACCAACAGGAAACTGAGGGGGGTACCTCTGAAAAGTCTCAGCACTAACATGGCCTACTGGTGAAACTTGTGCAGGCTGAGATGCATGAGGCCGTGCTGGCTGCACCAGGCCATAGCTAGAAACAGAAGGTTGCAGATGATTACCATTTGAGGATGTATAAAGTGGAGGAGCAACCTGGGCACCTTTTGATCCATAGCTCGGGATAGTTCTTGGCAAAGTAAAACCAGTTACATTCACGGAATACTGCGAGGATGGTCCTGTTGTGACTGAGCGATTGAAATGCTGAGGTATTCTTCGTTTAGGATTCGGCTGGCTTTTGTTTTTGGATTCCCTCAGTCTCTTCCACTTTGAATCCTTATCTGTAGCATGACAATGATTGTCCCAAAAGGGACAGGGAGCATGACAGTCACAGACATAACAATGGCACTGCATTTAAGAGATAAGCAAACGAATGAAAATGTGTCCATGCTACAGCCTGCAGGAGTAGACTAAAGATTATCATTTGCAAGCAGAGGAAAGAGAGTTAACTACTGACCATACGACAATGGCTTGCATGAGAACTGGTGCTGAATGGCAAGGTAGCACATAGATGGCGTGGATGAGGGAAATCCCTGCATGCTATCTGAAAAAGGAACATACAATTGCCAGTCCACATTATTAACCTCCTTTAAAGCTGGAGCTCTAAGATAGCTCCTGAATGCATAAGCACAAAAATCATAAGAATATCATATGTAGTAGTAGTAGAGAACCCCTTAAAGGACATCCATAATGTGGGGCATATCAAGGAGTCAACATGAGATTCAAATACGTACATACATCAAAACATCAACCTGAACTTTTTAAATGATCTAGCTGATGCATTAAACTAAACACTATTGGCAGAGTATTGCAACGACCATAATTATAAACAAGTTCCTCCTCACAAGTAACATTGGTCATCAATAATGGCATATGCGGCCATGCAAATGTTAAATTTTACCCGAAGTTAGGATTAACATTACTAGTACCGAAAGAAATAAACTGAACTGTGGTTCGACAGCTGCATTCGTAAAACAAATTTGTCGGTAGCGAGATATAAATTGCCATACATTAACTGCATAACAAGAGTACAGTTTGCCCAACCCGGTCAAGATCTTTTGCCAGCCCAGTCAAAAATCTTTTCGAGCTATAAACGACAACGTTGCACGCATACGACTTTGGATTCAATCGCTAGTGACTCACGATGACACCGCGATCGCTAGTGACTCACGATGACACCGTCATGCAACCCGTAACGGCAGTGGAGAAATTAAAGATAGCAAGCCTAAGAGCAGTACCTCTCCTTTCTCCGCAACTATCTGCAGTTCATCTTCAGCGTCATCACGCGATGGTCCCCCCTCCTCCTTCGCAACGGCAACCGGCTTATCAGGGTCACCGTCAAGAATGACGCAATCGTCGTCGTCGTCGTTGCCACGAGCAACAGGCACGGTGCTCGTGTTCTTGGCACCAACTACACCCTCGTCGCCAACAACAATTCCCGTTTCAGCCTTCAGGGAATCCAAGATCTCCAGCATCGTCGCCGGATAACCCACTCTCTCCAAAACCGCGTCGTCGGAGTCTTCTTGGTCCAGTATTGCCTCCGCCCACGCAAGGGCGGCGGCGTCCGGTGACTTGCGCTTGCCAGCGGCGGGCGTCTGCGGGCCGTCCTCCTCGTCGGAACTGATCACAACAGGCACCTCCGCCGCAGACCCCATCCGCCGCACAAGGAAATCTCGGTAGGGCGGGCGACGAGCAGGGAAAAGGAAAACCCCGGCTGCAGAGCCACAAGAAACCCCACGGCGGCGGGCAACGAACCGTCCCTCCTTGGATGGAACGCACTAGCCGATCACCGTGGAGGACGCCGAGCGCCCTGGCCGAAAAAAGCTTGCAATCCGGGGCAAGAAACACCGGGGTTTCGCGAAAGGTGATCGCGGCGGCGGCGCGTGGTGGCCTGGGAGAAGAATCAAAGAATGCGGCTTAGTCGCGGTTTTGGAAATTTCGCCGGACTCTGCAACTTCCAGAGCCCAAACCTTAGTCGCGACTCGACTCGGAAACAGAGAACCACCGTACTACTATTTGTGCTATAGTACTAGATCAGAAAGAAGAAGAAAAAAGATGGCAAGTACTCGTATAGATATAAATAGAATGATGAATGGAAGGAACAGAAGGCACAGACTGGGCATGAGAACCGAACGCATACCTTGGGGCTTCTTCGTTTTCTCCGTGACGGTCGAGGTAGAACGAAGGCGAGCACCGGCCGCAGGACCGCAGAAGACGAGACGAGATGGCTTGCTTTGGGGGCGTCGAGGAGGGAGGGAATGTGATGGGACCTGAGGAAGCGGAGCAACTGCACCGCACCCGGCCTCGCTTTTGTCAGGTTTTGGGGCCCCGCGTCTACGCGGCCTAGCCACGGGGCGTGGGCCCTGGCGTGGAGCCCACGCGTCAGAAGCCTGGCTCTTTTGCCCGCGCCGCGCTGCCAACAGGGGCGGTGACGTGGTGGAGGAGGTGCGGGGGGCTGCGGGCGCGGCGGGAAAGACGAGGCGGCGAGCGGGCCCGAGCTTTTCTCCTCTCCTCTTTTGCAGTTTCGCCCTTCCCCCGTCCGCGAACTTCGTAGTTCGTGTGTGACGTGTGGCATTAGAGCATTTCTAATAATTCCAAAAAATAAATTGGTAAATTAACTAGCTTTCCAAATGGCAAAAAAGTTGAAAGCATATTTATTGGTTCTTTAACAATCCCAAAATCTTTCTCCTAGAATATAGAAATCAATTTTACATTAAAAATCTCAGACTATTTATAAATCACCATAACTATTTTTATGCTTTATTTCTCTCGTGTGCATTTGTATTGATAACTCTGTCCTACTCCTTATTCTTCACGTCCTTACACCTCCATATTGCCGATCCATACATGTGTGTGTATTTGCGTGCGATTGGATAGATTTTAGCACGTGCAGAAAGATCAGGAGTTGAAATAGGGAGTTTTTGCAAGCATTTTTTTTAATCTTACCCCAAAAAAAACAAGATTGGAAGTGGGTTTAGAAACTCTTCGAGATGCTCTTACTCCCTTCATTCATCCATAAATAAACTAATTTCTATGAGTTTTTAAGTTTAATTTTTAACTTTAATTGATTCTATATAAAGAAACATGATCAAATGATATGGAATAAGTTGATTATATACTTCATGATGTATTTAATAATACTAATTTTAAATAATAAAGTTTATTGATTTAGGGAAAGTGGTATTACTAAATATACATAAAGACACAAGACACAACCATCATAAATACATTCAATATTATATTTTATGATGGTTGTATCCCGTGTTTCTGTGTTGTGGAAAATTTTCAAAACGAATATATATTGATTATATTGTTTTATATTTTTTAGAATTTTCTAGATATTTTTTCTATAAAGCTCAATCTAATTTTTTAAGCTTTTAGAGAATTTCACGACCAAATATATTTTATTTTGGGTTTTCATGTCTTAGTCCATCCTATGTTTTTCATTGACATTATTCATGACTAAAAATATTATTAGATATTTATCAATGTTTTTTCAACTAAAAAGGGACGAGACCACTTCAAAACTACGACAAGATGGGCAATAGTAACAGGGGTAAAATGGAACTTCCCCCCACATAGGGGTGCCTAGAGGTCAGTTACATCTCGGGTTCTGTTTTAGTTTGACTACTGCGCAAGCGCCAAACTTGTTGTCGCTTTTTTTTTCTCTCCGTCACATAGGAGCATATTGATGTGTCTTAGCTGAAAACCAAGATGTGGTGTATAATGACTAGTGAGGCTTGCTCTGGCACATTGACACACATCATCATCACTTGGCTAGCACGAGGATGGTTAGGACTGTAGGCCCACTTTGAAGAGCGGCTAGAGATAAACTCGGTTAGTGAATGCGACGACCTATGACACACTTTTTTGTTGTTGGTGATATACTATTATTATAATATGTGTCGTGCCGTGTAGTATTAGACTATGAGCATATTTGTTGAGTTTTCTCTAGCCACTCTTGTTATATATTATCTATGATTAAAAATCTTATTAGATATTTATCAATTTTTTCAACCAAAAAGGACGCGACCACTTTGAAGACACTTCAAAGCAACACAAGATGTAATTTAAAATTTTATTATAGCCGGTAAGATGTCTAGTTTCAAAATTTGAGAAGGATAGGTGGACCAGGACAATAGTTAACAGGGGTAAAATGAAACTTTTCCCACATAGGGGTGCCTAGAGGTCAGTTACATCTCGGGTTCCGTGTTTAGTTTGATTATTGTGCAAGCCCTAAACTTGCTCTCACTTTTTTCTCTTCGTGCTAGAATATTGATGTGTCTTAGCTGTAAACCAAACTGTGGTGTATAATGAGTCTTTCTCTGATACCCATCATCATCACTCGGCTAGCACGAGGATCGTTCGGCTAGAGATACACTCAATTAGTGAATACGATGACCTGCAACACGTTTTTTGATGGTTGGTGATATACTATTATCATAATATGTTTCTGTGTAGTGGTGGATTGCTCCGCGCATAAAAGACACACTAATAAAACTATATTTCATATATGCCTTATTATTATTGTAGTTAAGAGATCGATAATAGCTTGAAAGATATATCACATACTGTGCGAGAGCATATGTATTGAAAGACATTCTCAAATCCTATCACGTCATGTAATTGTTAACAGAGGTAAAAAAATGGAGGTAAAAGGGCAATCGTATCATGCCACGTAATTCTTAACTACGTCATGACAATAGTTAATAGAGGTAAAATAAAACTTTTCCCACATAGGGTGCCCCAGAGCCTAGAGGCCCATTAAATCTCGGGTTCCGTGCTTAGGTTGGCTACTGTACAAGTGCTAAACTTGCTCTTGCTTCTTTTCTCTCAGTCAAATAGGATCATATTGATGTGTCTTAGCTGTAAACCAAGCTATGATGTATAAAGAGGTTTCCTCTAACACATTGACACCCAATATCATCACTCGGCTAGCACGAGGATCGCGAGGACTGTGGGCCCACTTTGAAGAGCGGCTAGAGATAAACTCGTTTAGCGAATGCGACAACCTAGTACACGTGCATAAAAGATATACCAATAAATCTATATTTATTAGTGTACCTGATGGTTTACCAGAGGATTTGCATAAACCGAATACTGTTTCTCTTACAGATTATTAGGATCAAGGTTATTACCAATCCAAGAGATGGGATAGGAACTTAGGCTCACTTGGCCAACACGAAGGTCGCTAGGTCGATAGAGAGAGCCTCGGCTGGTGAATTGAATCCATAGAGTAGATTGCACCGTTCTGTTCACGATAGGTGTATGTACCTCCTTACCTGCTCCGAAAACGCCTGTAATAATAAAGAGAAACCGGAAAATGGCGTGAACATACCACCACTCTACCTATCCGAGTGGCATTTTTTCTTTTGGAAACTGGCCAATGGTGTACACGCACACACAAGTGGCCCAGATCCGAAAGACGGTAATGAAAACAGAAGGACGACGAAAGAGAGCCGGAGCGCTAGAGAAAGCAAGCACGATCGGCAGACGCGGGCACAACACGGCGCAGCAGGGCAGGCGTCACTGCTGCTGCTGCTGCCTGCCCACCGGATTTTCTCGGAAAATGCAGCAGGAGCCGTTGAAAACGACGTCTCGGCGTACAAGATCCAACGCCCCCGTCTCCTTTCCTCCAAAACACGAGACGCTCTGCGCCACGGCCCGCGGCGGGCGTAGTAGCCTCCTCTTCTGCCGCCGCGGGCGCGTGACTGACCGAACGCCCTGGGAGGACGGTACGGATGGGAAGTTTCACGGCAGGCGCGCATGCAAATGCACCAGCGGGGAGGCCGGGAACAGACGCGTGCGCTGATCATGTCATGTGGCGCGGCTGCGGCTGTTGGCGGTTGCGACGCAACTAGCGAGCCCGCCGGGCGTCCGGGGGACGGAAAAATTTCAGCGTTCGTGCAGTGCAATGCAATCGTGTGTCAGTGCGTGGCGACTGGCGAGACAATCCAGGCAAAGGATGGATGGATGGAACCGGCGAACCGAGACTGCAACCGCGAACTGGCTAGCTTTCGGTCGGTCAGTGGGGGGATCCATGGGACGGACAGGGCAGGGTGGTTCAACCGTTCAGATCATGCCTCTCTCTGGATGGACGGAAGGGATGGTCAGTGGTAGACGAGTACAGGCACTAGTAGCGCCCAGGAAGGATTGCTATCTTTATGTGCGCTGTCCGTTTGGTTGATAAGTCGCTACCGGAGAAATCTTATTTACTGATTTCTTTGTGAGAGAAAAAAAATATGTTCATTGATCGAAAAATACGGCTTATAAGCTTGCGAAACAGACGCCCCTTCCGTTCTACCGTCTCACCCGTGCTCTTTTTCTTTCGGATACATATGTCAATTCCATCTCAACGCTCATCCCCTTATAGCTTTCTCCTTTCTCATGTGATGCAATAGTAAACCACGGTAACGGTGGTTGTGCTTCCTATAACGCATGCACGCAACGCACCTTGCCACATGTGAGAGAGAGATGGGAAAAGAGACAAATGGATCAGATGTTAATCATTGCTTGCAACATTCAAGAACAAAGGCTTGCAACATATTGAAACCTCATGTAGCATAAAAAACATGTTACAACATAAAAAAAATATTGCAACATCTTAAATCGATTGTTGCAACACTAAAGAAACATGTTGCGACATATCAAATCG